TAATCGCAGGGGGAACGTACCCAAACATGAGAAAATGTGCTACCTCCTTGACTGCATTATTCGGCTCTACTTATTTATGTGAGTCAGCCTTTTCCCACATAGAGATCATTAAGTCCAAGTACCATTCCACCATGACTGACTGATCATTTGGAAGTGTGGTTGAGGCTGGCTGTCAGCAGCTGCTGTCCGGACTATGCATCCCTGGGTCATTCCATTCAGTGCATCAGAGTAAACTCAAGTAATGACAAAAAATGTACATAGTTAATTGTGTTGTGTTGTGCAATATGGACGCAAGGTACATAAACATGCATTGTACAGATAAAGAATTCTCAATGCATTTATGAATAAATGTAATAAATAACTAAATATATGTTTTGTATTTTTGTGGTTGGTAGATCATTTTGACTTGATCATTTTATAGTACCTCGCGTGCTGACAAAGTGTGAGTTCCCCTGCTGTAACTGTTCATGAGACTAGATGGCCCACTCTTTCTCCCACAGAGGAGGTGGTGGTTTCAAACTGCTGATCTTTAGGTCCAGACAGCCCAATGTGTAACCACTATGCCACTAGGGCTCCTGAAAGAGGTGATAGTTATGAAAAAGAATTCCAACAAATACCGTGCTCAAGCTTAGAACTGAAAGATACTAAGTTGAAATCCATTACTGACAAAGGGGAATGTGGAAATTTAGCCAACTGACCTGCTTTTTTGTGGAGCAAACTGGATCTGTGCTGCCAGGTGCCGATGTCCTGGACCTGTCTGGGCGCTGAGGATAGCAATGTCCTTTGACTGTCTTCAGGGTTCCCAGGCAGGAGGGGAGAGCCCTGTGAGGGTCTCAATTCACTTCTATCCGTGCTAGATAAGTGAAGAACATCTTGTGATTTCTTCTTTTCCTTTTTTAGCATATTGACCAAAATATCTGAAGGTGGAATTAAGGATTTAACCACTCCCACCAAATGATAAGATCAAAACACTGCAGATCCCAGTGAGATTAATATTCTGTGGTAGTTACATAACCTGGTGTCAACTTGAAACTACTAAGAGTGAAGGGGTGGAGTCTAGCTTGTCAATCAGGTCGAAGCTTGATGGACTTCATTTGGAGGCTTGACAGAGATAAAGAGCTCACTGGAGGCCAGACACACACACTCTTCCTGCGAGACATTACTGTTGACAAGCCACATAGAGCTACACCGATGGAGCCAGAGCCCTGGAGCTGGAGAGGCCATGTGGAGAACCTTACCAGCACTGAGATGCTTCCACCAGCACTGGATCCACAAGACTTTCCACCCACTGGTCTGTGATATTACTGCATTCGGCATCATTGCATGTGTTGTGTGAGTCTGAAGAGGGATTTATAGATTGCTATCAGACATATGGGCTAATATCGGACTTGTGGACTTGATCTGGACTGGGCTGTGATGTTTCTCAATATTCAACTGCTCTTGTATATAAACCTCTTTCTTACATGAGTGTCTGTGAATTTGTTTCTCTAGTTAACCCAGACTAACGCATATTTTAAGTAAAAGCTGTTAATTTGTATGTTGTCAAGACTGATTAGAACAGACTTTTCACAGGGGTCACCCGATTCATAAGAGTAGCAAAATGATAGTTATGAAGTAACAACAAAAATAATGTTATGGTTGGGGGCATCACCACAACATGAGGGAATGTATGAAAGGGTCATGGCATTAGGAAGGTTGAGAACCACTGAATGAGAGGAAGACTTCCACTTCCTGATGCCATATATAGAGTTATATGCAGGTGTGTACAATGTAGGAGGCTGCTAGTCTTATGTAATATAGCACCTTTATATAACAAATTAGCTAACTCACTGACCTTTGAATGGTTCTGAGCTTAAGCCAGTTAGTTAGGACCTAAAGATTGCATGAGAAGTTTATTGAAAAGGAAAAAGGAACACTGAGTAGTTCTTTCAGGGCATATAAACTATGCGTCTACCTGAGAGTAAAGAAGTCTTTTCATGTGGAAGATTAAGCCCTTGGCTGAGGATGTAATTGTTCAGTATGTGGTAGAAGATCGGAAAGGGAAATGGGCAAGATTCACCCAGCTGGCAGCTCAGCCACATCAACCCATGTGGTGGCAGATGTGCACACACAGCCCCCCCGCCATGTCTCACATCACTGCTTACTGAGGGTGTGCTCACATATGACTTGACGGGCTTTTCCTTTTTGTCTCTCTTTTGGTTCAAAATGGAGCTGAAAGGAACATGTGTGTATAGATACATATACATAGATATGAATATAACCCAAAACCAAACTCCCTGCCATCAGGTCAAAGGTAGAACTGCTTCTGTGAGTTTCAGACTACGACGCTTTATGGGAGCAGAAAGCCCCATCTTTCTCCCTCATATGCACATATATACACACCTGAGGGGCCTTCATAAAAGTCCAGAGGAAAATCCCATCATCTTTTATTGCATTTTCCACCTTGGAAGACAGGCCTGGAAATCTGCTTCCAAAGGTCACCGCCCTGTGGAGCACCTCTGCCTTGCACGGGCAGGGTCCTGCTGAGTGGGCTTAGACTCCACAGCAACTGAGAGCAACACTTTTCTAGGTACGGGGACTGGAGCAGACAAAAGGCAGATGACTAGTTTCCTCAAGAAGTAGAAGTCCCATTAGGGGAAAGGCAGGGCCAACACACACACACACCCCACCCCACCCCACCCCCACCTCCCATCAGAGAATGATCAGTTTCAGAGAGCTACTTTCTAAAGGGCCCAGAGTGACTGGGTGGCTCCTCTACATGGGGTGCCCATGAAAGGTCTTTCTAAGAGGAGTATTTCAACAGACACCTGAATGACGAGGAGGAACCAGTCAGAGACAGAGCCTCAAAGCCAAGGAAATGGTTAATGTCAACATTTTGAGGAGCAACACATCAGGGAACATCTGGCAAATATCCGGTGTGGTTGTCGCCAATGCAGGAAGGTTGTCTTCCAGCAACCTGGTGGGTGCAGGCCAGGGTTGTTGTTAAACATCCCATGATGCACAGCACAGCCCCTCACCACAAAGACCCCGAATTGACTTTGGTGAAATGGAAGGCAACCAGGGAGAATTTTCCAACCTGACATGTGATTAGTGCTGAAGAAATCATGTTCGATGAAGCTAAAGGTCCCTGTGACTGGAGCTTCTCCCACCAGAGGAAAAGGGGAAGCCAGTAAGTCAGAGAGCAAGGCTGAAGAAAGCTCATGCAGGGCCTGGTGAACCAGAGCAGGAATTTGGGGTGTGCACCTCCAGGTACGAATCAGAGAAACAAGGTGACCCGATGAACAGGTCATGACCGTCACAAGACAAACCCATCTTCCGGCCTGCTTTCCTCCTTCTACCCACTCCTCTGACTTCCCCCGCTTCCCTGCTGAGTGGGAACAGTGTCCTGTTACATCTTTGCCAAGGGGGTGTCTCCACTTGATTCCAGGAGACGTGGTTGCACAGCGGGTTAAGTGTCCGGCTGCTACCTGGAAGGTTGGTGCTTCAAACGCTCCAGCCCTTCTTTGGGAGTAAATTGAGGTTGTCTGCTCCCGTGAAGATTTCTAGCCTTGGAAACCCCTGGGAACCGGTCTACTCTGCCCTCCCGGGTCACAAGACATTGGACTGAACTCAGTGGAAGAAGGGGAGGGGGCAGGGGGGCAGGTGAAGCTTCATTAGAACTCATGATGGCCGTGACAGCATTTTCATTCCCGTTCCAAGAAGAGCATTTCATGCCATTCACTGTCACTGGGTGGCATTCCTGTCTGGTGCTGAGCTCAAGCATGATCGTGTTTTAGGTGGCTTCCTAAGAGCTGTGTCTTCCCATCCCTCCCGCCACATTCTACGTTCTCCAAAGGAAGTTAAGGAAATACGCTCCATCGTGGCCCCCTCGGAGGGACCATGACAGGTCAGGAGTCTTTCTTTGTCAGGAGCTCTAAGAAAGTGTTAAGCTTGGAGAAAAATGAAATCTTAGCCAACATTGTTCCTTTTCTCAGTTTGCCCAAGGCCTCTGCGACCCTGTCTTCCATAGTATAACATCCTGTAGTGTGTAAAGCGCTCTCCAATACATTGTCTCCTTGACACTGCTCAGCACTGTGAAGCTGGCAGGGCAAGCCCCATGCTCCTGAAGAGAAGGAAGCAGTTACACTGAGGGTACCAGGATATCAGGCCAGGTAACAATCAGCTCTGTCCTCTTTTCCACCGTGCCTCCCTGTGTCCCATCACTGGGATTTGAATCGGAGTGTCAGATGGGGGCAGGAACGATGTTTCAATCATTTAAGCCAGCAAGGAGTGCACAGTGGAACTGAGATTGACCTCCGTAAAGAAAGGAAGACGATGTATGTCTCTCTCTTTTAAAACTAAACATGTATGGATACGAGTGGACTTCTCCCCCTTTGTTCTATCTCATGGCACAGATAGTCATAAGCCCAGAAGAGGATTAAGAAGCTGGTAGGAGTAATTTAGGGGAAGAGATCCCACACTAGGATCAAGGCCAGGAAAAGAAGCAGAGCTCAGATTGGGCTGGGGCCAGGCCTGAGGTCCAGGCTGGTCCACCCCTGGAGATGGATAGGGTACGAGAGAGGAAAGGAATTCAAGGGTGACACTACTTGTCGGTGCACTCATGGAAAAGGGCTGTGTGGGAGTGTTACTCGGGAGTTGAACCCACTATTCCTGGCCATGGATAATAAAACAGCGACAGCTCAGTTGACTCAGACACACAGGGTCTGCCGAAGCTCAACCATCATTAGAGACTGAACTTAATCAGGCAGCCTGCCCATCTTGCATTTGGTTTGTTTTTAATCTCCTTATTATCCTTACTACTGGATTCCTTTCACGTAAGTTTGTTTCGTGCATTTTTCAGAATAGCTAAAGTTAAAACATCGTTTAGTCATTTTCTCTTAAATGAGCAAGAGAAAAAAAAACCTCTGTAAAAAGAAATGACCAAAGTAATTTTGTGTTGAGTCTTCAAATGTAGCAACAAACGTCAAATCTTTTGCAAGAAGCAGAAAAGATAAAGTGAGACACAATATTGAAGTGCTATCAGGGAGTCCTGAGGTCTAACTAACCCACGGGCGCCCTCCTAAAAGTAACCCCCTCCTCTCACACAGCCGGAAGGACTTGCCATCCCAACTTCCAGCCTCGAAATAGACTGCCTCCTCGAGCAAGAGGAAGGAGCCCTGTACCTCAGTGCTTACACAGTGGGCTGTGATTCAAATGCTTGGCAGTTCAAAACCACCAGCAGCTCCTTGGGAGAAAGACTGGGTTTTTACTCCTGTAAACAGTACTGTCTCAGAAACCCACAGGGGGGCTGTGAGTCAGCCCTGAGTCCATGCCCTTGAATTTGCTTTTGGTCAGAGCAAAAGGAGTCTATCTTGAGGATTCATATCCGCTCATTTTCAAATTTGGAAGTGTTTGTTAGTGGACACCAGAGCCATAGGTCTGGCATTTAAATAAGTAATCGTAAAAATAGAAAGAATCGCATTTAAACAAATCCCTGCTCTTCATAAGCTAAATACCATTTGTCATTTTTCAGCCACCATCTGAGCTTCTCCCACACATCAGCCACAAACTCTGGGTCATGGTGAGGCTGTGGTCAGCCCAGTGTCCGGTCAGCCAGCTAAAGATAACCACCTTTCATCACGGTAGAGTGCTAACTTACCTTCTAAAGGCTAAAGCAAAACCACACAATGCAAGACCCACCGCCACCCCCCACCCCCAAGAAAAGATTCAATCCTATGTTAAGAGATGGTGCAAAAACTCCTTACTTTTCAATAAACTGAAACAGTTCCTGGGAATATTTAATTGTGTCTGGCTAAAAATAAAGGAAGGCACTTCTTGTTTTTGTTCTTTTAAAGCCACCTATTTTCACTAGCTACTGCGTTTTTGTTTGCTGGTGGGTTGGTTAGTGGGAAGAAGCCAGGGGACTCAGAGCAGGGTGGGTTGCTGGGGGATGGTGCCGGAGGAAGACCTCTAAAGCCCACCCACTAGACTCCCAAACAGGCTGAGCCAGGAGGGTTTCCCTGCCATTTCAGAAAGGATACTGATTTCATTATCTCTCTGCTTTAGAATATCTTGTAGTTTTTTATACTCTTCCCCTTTGAATGGGTCTTGGGTGACTTGGTCTTGGTCTGTGACTTCAGCCGAGATGGGACTCTTTTTCCCCAGGCTCTTATCATTCCACAGCTTCTATAAGGGGAAAAGGAGCTTGGCTTAGTGTCCATCACTCTCTACCACATGCCCTGGTCTCCGGACTCCCTTCTCCTTCTACCACTCCCTGCACACACGAGGCTTGCCTGCCCTTTCCTACCTCCTGGTCTTTGCAGTGCAGGTGTTTTTGCCTGATGCATTACCCCCACCCTCACCCCCACCCTGTCCCCCTTCTGTGTGCCCTTTCCTGCTTTACCCTCTGCACGCTCTCATTTTTCAACCCCCAGTGGGAAATGCCTGCTCAAATACTAACTATTCCTGACTCCGTTGCCCTTTCCCTCACTCTTGTCTCTCTGACACCATACCACTTAATCCACACGTTCACTGCAGTGTGCACCACGCATGGCAATGATCTTTTATATCACTGCCTTCCTCCCTGACTTACTTGTGCAACTTCTCCTTCTTGATGCCTGGCCCAGAGTCTAGTCAGAACAAATATTTATTTGACACAACACAGTGTGGTAGAAGTCAAGCTTAATTGTAGGATGGATGCCTCCTCACAAGAGTTAAAGCAGAAGGCAGAAAGAAAATTCAGTAAGTTTATGTAAAAATCAAACGTGTCAGGAAAACGCGTGATGTAGGGTATGTGTGGTGGATGATATAGTTTGAAAACCATTGGTTTTGAACTTGGAACCTTCCTGTGTAGCCGGCAGTGATCCCTAGGGGAAAAAACAAGAAGTCTATGGTCTCAGCTTATTTATCAGCAAATAAGATACTTCGATGTCTGAGGAAACTGAGACCCTACTCCGGAATGGTGTGATTTCAAAGAAAGTTTTAATTGTCACCCCCCCCCCATCACTTGTCCCCCTGCCCAAATCAGTGTTTTGAACATAGCTTCTACTGAAGGAAAGATCCAAATTTACCTTGAAATGATGAAAACAGTGATGAACTTTACGCATATCGGCCCCAACCTCTAGTCTGCTCTCAGGGTCTTGGTCTTCCAAAAAGGATGTTAGTAGCTTTTCCAGCCTAAATATAGAAAATGTATGAGATGCAATTAGATAATGTATGAGAAGCAACTACGAGCTGGGAACCTGGGAATTTCTCATAGCATTGCTTAATTTGTTAACTTTCAAAGTGTAGCATACCTCCCTCCCCTTATAAATGAAAATTGACTGTAAAGCTTAAGAAGAAACCGATTGACATGGGAAATCTAAGGAGAATGACACCATTTGACTCATTTCAATGGAGTCACATGCAGCGTTCCATATAAGAAGGATCGGATGGCCACAATTCATGCATCTTGGCCACACTGGATTTTTAGGCTTCTCTGCCTGGCTGCCACAGTGCTGGAGAGAGTAATGAAGATCTCTTTTCTCAGTTCCATGAAAAGCCTTGTCCTCGGCCTCAGCTGGGACCTCAATGAAGTGCCACAACACCTTCTGATCACTTCTGCTCTGCCTTATATTCTTTACGCGGACAATTCCAGCTCTTCCCGCAAACTCCCAGTCTACCACTGGTCAGCCCAGTGGCTCTCTCTAGAGAACACGAAAATGGCGGCAGGCAGGCTCCTGCGGTTTCCTCGTTCTTCTCCCCAGTCTCCCAGGTTCACCACTCAAGCCCTCCTTCTCAAGGTCAACCTCGCCTCCCGCACTTTTCTTGCTTTTTCCAGGGTTTCCCTGATTAATTATCCCTTTCTCTTTCTTCTTCATCACCCCTCTTCCCTCTCTGTATAGAGTGATTCCCCTATCCCTGCTTCTATTCTAAAGCACAATGAAATAGAAAACAACAGAGACAAAAATCAATAAACCCCAACCTCCCTTTGGAGGAATTATCCAACCGCTCTCCTCTGAAATCATAATCTAGTTGGAAGGAAGTTCCACTCAGGCTCACTATAGGTTATGTTGCAGTCTAGAACGCACGGGTCAACCTTAAGGTGCCCCCCGCCCCCGATTCATTTACAAGTCTCATGAGACTAAGCTTTGCTCTGATTCATCATGTGTTTTCAGTTTCTCCACTCAGATCTAGGGCAATGCTTATCTTTGGTCTTCGATAGGAAGATGGTCATACATTGATTGATTCATTTTCATGAAAATTGAAGTGGAAGGATAAAAATGGTGCCAGAGTGGTCATCAGTATCAGACGTTAGGTAATGTAATATAGCAGCAATGTATCTTTCTAGCATGATAACGGAACTATCGGCACATTTCCAGTATCTTTTAAAACGTTTGGAACACATTTCCCTTCTGTTGTTATCAGCCTATTCAAATAAGAAATAGTGATTTTCACGACGGATCAGCCTTGTATTTTCTTTTTATCTCCTCTTATGCGCTTTGATACACGACAGCCAATATTTACAAGTGTAAGACAACTTATAATTTTTAGACAGTTTATTTAGGTGGAAGGACATCTGTCATGTGCATCACTAGAATAGAGCTTCACATCATGAAATACACAGAAAGATGAATTTCGGAGACAAAAATTTTAAATATGCCTTTTGCATATAATATAAAAATATATGCTTCTTTAAACAAAACAGCACAGAGGTCAACAGATTAAACAAAACAAAAAACCCACCTCCCCAACTTCCCGCACAAATACTCTGCTTTTCTTGATTTCCTCTTGACATCTCAGGGAATCTAATGTTTACATCTAAAATGTATTCTTCTACCTCTGAACCAAGCAGATGCCTATGTACACACATTTGCGTACTGATGTTTGCTTTTACAAAAGTGAGATCAGAGTCTGAGCAGTGTTCTACACCATTATTTTTCTAAACAAGTTATCAGATAATCTTTCATTGAATCTCATATATATATATATATAGAGAGAGTAGAGCTAGTTGAGCTACTTGGTAGCTCAGTGGGGAAGCATTGGGCTGCTGGCTGTTCAAGTTCATTCAGCAACTCTGTGGGAGAGAGACCAGGGGATACTGCAGCCTTGGGAGCTCAACTGGGCAGTTCCACTCTGTCTTATGAGGCCACTATAAGTCGAAAATTTGCTCAAGGGCCCCTAACAACACTCCCAATATTATGTCTCATCTTGTAATGGTGATATCGTATTCGATACCATGGCTGCATCATTCGTCTGATGATGGACACTAAGATGACATTCTTAACTGTTAACTCTCCTCTATAACCAAGGAGGAGGCTTGGGTCTACAATCGCTATTTAATAAGGGTTTCTTGTTGTTTGTTTGTGTGGTAGTTATATAATTTCATGTCAATTTGATACATATGTTAGGGGTGGAGTCCAGCCTGTCAATCAGGTCATGGCCTGACCGATGCCTCCTTGTGGGTGTGGCCTTCTCATGAGGATTCTGGGAGTTTTCCTCTCTTCCTACCTGGAGGTGGGACACACACTCTATCTGTTTCACTTCCCTGTTGACTAGCCACATGTAGCCATGCTGATGACAGCAGAGCCCTGGAGATGTGTCCACTGCCATTGGATCTACGGGACTTTCCACCCACTGGCTGGTGAGCTTCCTACATTTGGCACCATTGCATGTGTTGGGTGAGTCTGAATTGGAATTCATGGGCAAATACTGAACTTATGGACTTGATCGGGACTCGGCAGGGATGTTTTATTAATACATAATTACTTCTGGATAGAAAGCTAGCTAGCTAGTTAGCTAGATTTAGTCTCTGGATTTGTTTACCTAGGCAATCTGCACTAACACTGTTTGTTTTGTTTTTTAATAGTAATCTTCCTTTATTTTTATTTTCCCTGAATAATTAGTTGAAATTCTGTACAATCGAAAAACCTTGAGTTCTAAAATATACCAATTTTCTGGAGAGAAAAAACAATATCTCCCCCCTCTAGAAAAAAAAATCTCCGCTACACGGGGAGAGAGAGAGACAGCATCATGTGGATTCTGACTTATGATCATAGTACCGAAACCAGAAAAATGTTGCCCAGTGCTGCATCACTGTCACGGTTTCTGGCAGATTCAAGTTCATTGTTGAACGAGCTGATGGTGCCAAACCATCTCACCAGCGATCTCCCGTGCCCTCGCTGTCCCTTTGCCTCACCAGACAGAATGTCCTCCTCTCGGACAGGTTCTTCTTGGTGAGGTGTCCACGGAAGGCAGCCCAGATCATGTTCTACCTTGACTGATGACACTTTCACCGGCTAACTTTTAGAAGTAGACTACCAGGGCTTGCTTCCTACTTTTAGAGAAGAAGCTCTACTGATACCTTCGCAGTATGTGTGAGCCTGCTGGTATTGGAAATACAAGTGTCATAGCTCCCAGCACCACAGTCACACGTAGCAAGCCACTGCTGCGGAGCAGACGGACGTCCCGCTGGGGGTTCTGTCGAGCTTCATCAGAATGTGCATTTCTACATACTCTTCCCTGAAGTGGAATCCTCGTTCAGAAGAATGACTTGGGTTTGACTATGGCAGCAAGATTTCAGTCGTGAACAATAGCGAAGGGTTGTTTGACTAGCTGAGGAAGAACGTGGCATCCGGGTTGGAGGAAGACTAATTAGCAACCTGGGAAAAGCACGGGACATAGATCTTGCTTGCTGAAAGTAACAAAAAGTAAAAAAAACCTTACGGTCGAAGATCAAACCCCACAGCGTTCGGTATGGTATACGCATCAACATAAAGAAAACAAAAACTCCTCATCACTGGACCATCGTTTCAGCACCAACCTCTCATACACTGTCTGGATCCTGGTTTCCAGAAAAGGATAGAAAAAAGGGCCAGGAGTATGCTCTGAAAAATGGTTAAAAACTGCCAAAGGGAAAGTCTAGGATGGCTTTGCTCTTCGTGGGACTTGATTATTCTAGTACACAATCAAGAATAAGGTGTGGCCTTTTGACAAAATTCTGTTTTCACCTCTGGAGTCCATGGAACCTCCTTAGGTAACAAAAAAAAGTCTGTTCTTTCCTTCATACGTTTAATTTGTTATTGGATTTATTTTCCTTTTCAAGCAAAGGAATTAAAATATATAAAAATGCTTAATTCAGATGTTTCCATGTACTCCTCTAGGAGTTGAGAATGCATCATTGACCCCAAATTCCCTGCATATTCCTGTCTCCCAAAATAGTTTCTAAGTACATACATAGTCACTGCTCCCACTGAGGGGCATCCTCGCTGCCAGAACCCTGCTGGACAGTGAAGAATTGTTTACCGGAAAAGGTTCTCTAAGAGGTCAAACGAAAGCCCCCCCAAAAGTCTGTTCTTTAGGAAAAGCTCAAGTACACAGAAAAATTTCACTTTTACTTTCCTTTCACTGGATAAAGGAAGGAAATGAATCCTCAGAGAGGGAGAGATAAGTGTATACTATTTAGTTCTAGGACATCCGGACAGAAAACATTATAGCTAATCCAAGTGTGTCTAAAACCGTTAACGAGCTGATGGTAGGTAACCATTAGCTACATGATGGCTGTAACTATCTCTACCAGATGGACTGCTAAGCGGTTATCTCTCACAGCTTGTTGCCTAGTTCAATAATTCTATCATATTATGAATGTTGACAGTTTTAGCTGGCCATGTAATAGAATCACCCCTATTTCTGAATATGTGCTTTAGTGCATTGAGAATATTATACTCCCCTCTTTCTGCTCTCTATATTACTTTCCAAAAAATGACATTATGTCTGCAACCATATTTTCACATAAATTTTTATGAACCAAAAGATAAAACAAGTTTATTATCTATCGTTAGCAGTAGCTAATGTTAAGTGAGCATGCACTAGATGCTACTCCTGTATGCTATTTGCAACAACCATATGAGGTACTATTAATATCCCTAAAAGGAGAAACTGAATATAGACAGGATAATTCTTTATCTAAGGAAACTCAGCCATCAAATTTCAGAGCTTGGATTCAAACTTGGGTAGGCTGATCAAAATCCAAGCTTCTAAGCACTATATTTAATATACAATAGTGAATTTCCACCACTTGTCTGCCAGTTTGTTGTACTGTGGTGGTCTGTGTGTTTTCAGCTGAGCGTCTGGACTACGACAGATCAAGAAAGAGGAAGGGGTTATCCATTTATGAAAAAAAAAAGGCCACTGAACAT